CATGAAAACAAAACAGCGCTACCAGCTTAATGTGGAGAGTGATTTCCGTCACCTTTTATTCAACATCAGACCAAAAATAGCAGATATCATCAAGATGAAACATTGACAACCATCATATTGTTATTTAGACACTAAATTATCAGTTGTTGGGGATTGTTTCGTTTGTTATTTGACGCTTTGAATTATGTGTGTGTTTTTCTCCAAGTTCTTATTAACAGTGGAACGTAAACTCCATGGACCACTGAATGAAATAATAACAACAATGAAATTTATACAAGAGACACAATTGCTGATATAAACAACTTATTTCAGGCGAACGAAAGTAGAAGATTAACAGTACTTGGGATTTTCCCTGTCCTCTTCTTGTTTGTCACAGTTTGTTATGTGTGGGAAAGGGATTGGAGGAGAGGGGGGGGGGGGGGGGGGAGTCTGGCTATATACTCAAGAAAGGCGCTACCTGAAACAGGCTGGAGACCACGGGGCTACTGGCTCGCCTGTTGAAATGAATGTCTTAGGGTCAAGAAAAAAAATGACGTAAGACTTTCATGTTTTATTGCAGCTTTAAGTCAGAAATACAAGGGGTATTTATTCCCCCAGCCGACACGTGTAGTCATTCTACTAAGAAACAACCGACCGGCTGCTTCGAGATACCAGCTTAGTGATCTTGTGTTTCTGTGTAGTATTGTTTAATTTGTATGTGCTGATGAAGGCTCAATAGCCGCAACGTTCACGTTTTGTTTTTATTTGCTATATTGTGAAGCTTGCTTATATACTTTTTGTTCGGTTTTATATCTTTTCTTGACAAGTCAGAAATAGGCTTACACGTTAAAAAAACTATGTATAAAAGACCATTTTTACACACCGTCAGGCGTATGTGGCATATAGTGCTAGGCGTATGTGGCATATAGTGCTAGACGTATGTGGCATATAGTGCTAGACGTATGTGGCATATAGTGCTAGACGTATGTGGCATATAGTGCTAGGCGTATGTGGCATATAGTGCTAGGCGTATGTGGCATATAGTGCTAGGCGTATGTGGCATATAGTGCTAGACGTATGTGGCATATAGTGCTAGACGTATGTGGCATATAGTGCTAGACGTATGTGGCATATGGTGCTAGGCGTATGTGGCATATAGTGCTAGACTTATGTTTTATAGACCAATCAGTACTCGATGACTGATGTGGTCAACATTACGCCGGGCTCTTTCACTTCCCATGGACTTTACCTGGTACCCACTGAAGGCTGGACTGACTTTGGTGCAAAAAGGAAAGACCGGCTGCATTCAGATTTCAACACACGAGCTTCCGATTTGAGCCCACGACCTGTTTTAACGTATAGCCACTGCATCACGATGGTTTCTTTAAAATAATGTATTTTATGTAAACCTTAAAACTTTATTTGTTTACTGTAGGTAAAACTTCTGCTAATGGTAAGTTATAGCCTGACTATCCTTACGTCCTTTTTAGGACGTATTTTTTTGTTATTTGAAGCCCCACTCTGGCTTTTTCCAGGGGCCGCAATATAGGCAGGCCATAAATATGGCCAATTGTCTGAACGCGGTTTCTGGGACCTCTCCACGGTGATCCTCATCCGCATGGTGGCACTTTGTGTCATCGGGTGTTTATTGCTTTTGTAATGTCCTGGTGGGGTAGAAATTCATTCATTCATTCAAGTTATAGTCAAAAGGATCGACTTTAATGCACTCAGTTTAATTCCATTTGTCACGGTCCCTATCAGCAGGAGACTTGTAGCCCATAGAGAGCGTTGAACAAAGTACGAACACCTAGCTGTAGTGACGACTCCAACGAGCTTACGACACTGGCCAAGAGGGCAACAGTAAGTTACAATTGCGGCATTTAACATGTTTCCATATTTCCGACTCACCCTGAATATAACAAACATATCATATTTTGCGTGTACTTTTCCGGCCGTTTTCTGCAGAGGAACAAACACTTTGATTTATGGCTGTTACACCATTCGGATTCGGGCGCTGGTCTTATGGTGTTTATCAGACAATATCAAATACAAGACAACTGCAAGCCGAAAGCTGTCTGTCCACATGGGGAAAACAACTCATTCCAAATTCTGTTTATAGTCTATACAACGACGCCCAAGCCGCATTTTCCTGTAGTTGAGAATAACTCTTTATCGAATTTGGCTGGGGGTAATATTGTTGAAGACAATCTTATGGCGGATATTTTGACAGTGATATCAAATACTAACGACACCGGGCTAGGCAAGCGAGACGGTTGTGTCCCCGTTGTGTTTTCTTTATGAAGTAAAATAAATAATGATTACAGAGTAGTGAGAGCACCATGCAAAGTATAGAATGACAGTACCAAGAACAACAGCCTTAAATAAATAATCTTTTTCCGGGTGCGCTCTTAAAAAAGGCGGTTAGCACATTATGTTGTGATTTACAGCTAGGCTGTGATATCTGCGTCTTTTAACTCAACAAATCAGTGTTCAGCAAATCTTTAATTTGTCGCCTTTAGCT